ATACGCCTATAATTATTATATACAGACGTTTCGGTATCTCTCTCATTCTAAATTCCATATGGCGTACATGTTACACATGTACGCCATATTATACTAAGCTATACTATATACGCTATAATTCTCCACTAGTAGGAACCAAAATGGCGGATAAGAATACCTACATATCTAGTGCCTTATAGCGTTTTCGATTATACAGGATTTGAACGACCCAAGATTGGTTAATGACGTCATTGCAACCTCTCCACCAATGAAAGACTTGCATTTATAGTAAAATAGTGATTGATCAACCCTAGATCGTTCAAACCCCGTTTATTCGAAAACGCTATTAGTTACACATGTACGCTATACTATACTATATACGCTATAATTCTCCGTCTAGTAGGAACCAAAATGGCGGATGAGAATACCTACATATCTAGTGCCTTACATATACTAGCCAGGACTAGGTAAATCCGCGGACGGATGTACGTCATGGCAGCCATCTTGAGCGACCACTTTTTGAAAGTGAGAGGGAATGCTCGAGCATAGCGGCAAGCGGCATACCGTACGCCGTACGCATTAATATGCAGTGTATAGTCTTTTATGCAACAGTGTATGGAAATAAACGATCAAAATGATATACTGTAGAGCTTGTGGCATAACAGCAGCAGCTCGAAATCATGGAATAACGTTTCATCGGTTAGTATTATCAACAATAATGAGATTTTTATTTTGGAGATTATAATCATATGTATAGTATTGTGAAATTGTAGATTCACAATAATTACTAAATAATTTTCACTCACAAACAGGTTTCCGAAAAATCCGGATCAAAGAAATGCATGGATAAATTTTTGTAAGGACGAAGGATTTAATATAAATTTAGATTTTAGATTTTAACATTGCTCTTATGGAAATACTGCACGAGTGCAATCCCAATGAAAAACGCCATTAAAATTTGGTAATATTGTTGCATATTATAGTTATTTTCTTTTAATTGTACATTATTTCCTAATTAAACATAACAAGTCATTCAATATTGGCGCCCTTGAGCGGCCATCTTGAGCGACCACTTTATATAGTCACTTTTGTCCGCACTTTTACGACCAAACGCTCCCTCCTGTTTCTTTTTACTCAATGCATTCTCCTTCTCCGAGGAACATCCCTGCCCGGTTATCTAATGATTACATACCTTTGCAAACATGAGTAAGATTATTTTATTCTTATATTGTTTAACTTCCAATTTAGGTTTAATATAGTATATTAAAGATATGGTAATTATTTAGAATAGCTACCTCACCTCCGATTTTGATAAAAATAGACTCATTCGACGCGTTTTAGTCTAAAACGAAAGAGTCTGGCAGAAAAAAAAGTCGCTCTGCCCTGCGAAGCGAGATATTAATTGTTAAAGTTAATGACTTTTCAGGTTACGAAACCTGTCATTCCGACTGAGCGTAGAGACATGGGCATGCGCTGCGGTCACGCGCGCATGCGTACTAATAGACGAAATACAAAATATATTTTCGATAATCATTAATTGTAAGTCGCAAATCCACGTTAAATAGTATAATTATGAACCTTGCTTTGCGTAGACACAGGGTATTCCGCCCCCCCGGAGGGGGGGCGGACCCCCTGTGTAAAATAAAAATAATTAAACTTTTGTGCGTATTCCAGAGCGGCATAGATTGCTTGATCTATCAAACTAGCTTTAGCATTATATATTTTTGTACAATCTAAAGCTATTTTAATGCTAAAGCTAGTTTAGATTGCACACAAATATATAATGTTAAAGCTAGTTTGATAGATCAAGCAATCTATGCCGCTCTGGAATACGCACGAAAGTTTTATTATTTTTATTTTACACAGGGGGTCCGCCCCCCCGGAGGGGGGCGGAATACCCTGTGTCTACGCAAAGCAAGGTTCATAATTATACTACTTAACGTGGGTTTGCGACTTACAATTAATGATTATCGAAAATATATTTTGTATTTCGTGCACAATTCTATTAGTACGCATGCGCGCGTGACCGCAGCGCATGCCCATGTCGCTACGCTCAGTCGGAATGACAGGTTTCGTAACCTGAAAAGTCATTAACTTTAACAATTAATATCTCGCTTCGCAGGGCAGAGCGACTTTTTTTTCTGCCAGATTCTTTCGTTTTAGACTAAAACGCGTCGATTGAGTCTATTTTTATCAAAATCGGAGGTGAGGTAGCTATTCTAAATAATTACCAAAGATATAATATAGTGACGAAGATAAAACATTGATATGTAATTATTGTGAATTTTTAGGATTTGCAGAAAAATAACAGTAATATTTGATTTTATTACTCGTTGCTATGATAAAATGTCTAATACATTCACACCGTTCGTATACTGGGCTCAAACGGAGAATCAAATTACATTAAAAGTAGACTTGACTGATGTAAAGGTATGATATATATATATGCATGGGAACATTTTTTAAAATTTTATAAATATAATATTTGTATTGGTATGTTAAATAAAAATCACATAATCTGTCTATTTTATTTTATAGGATCTTAATGTTAATCTAAAGGAAACTGCATTGCAAGTTACAGTTTATGGACAGGGAGCTAGAGGTCTGAATAATTACAATTTTAATCTAAATCTTCATTCACCTATTGATCCAAATGTAATGACAAACATATAAATTGATTTTTATATATATTTAATATTTAATTAAATTTAAGAAACTTATATAGTATTTATTATAGGAAAGCAATTATAAAGTGATCGATCGTCAAGTAGACTTTATCCTGAGAAAACAAGCTTGTGGCTGGTGGCCAAGATTAACGTGCCAGCCACAAAAACCTTCATGGCTTAAGATTGATTTTGATAAATGGAAAAGTGAAGACATGGAGGACAATGAAGATGAGAAACGTGACATTCGTGATGATTATCCAGACATGTATGATAAGTTGCACAAAGAAGAATTTGGCTATAGAAAAGGTATATGATTCAAAATGATATAATATTATTATGATATTAATATTATATTGTTCTTTTCAGAAGATTTTGCAAAAGTATATCTAGTTATATATAATCTCTATCAATTTGTTGGCTTTATTTATGTGCTTGCTGTAATGGGTATAAGATATTCACGAGATGGGCCAGGTATATTTCATTTATGTGATATTTTTATTCTTTTAATATATATGAAAAAAAGCTTTTTTTAAATCTGAAGCACTTAACTCACATCTTTGAAATTCTTAACAAAAAAGTAAAAAAAGGTTTTTTTTAGAAACACACAGTATTTTTTCTTTTTTCAGATTTTATGAAAGAAACATACACGACAGTTGGCAATCCACTCAAGTTTATACAACTTTTACAATTTTTAGAGGTAATGCATCCCTTATTTGGTTATACGAAGAGTAGCACACTTGTGTCTTTCTTACAAGTGGGAGGTAGAGGGTTTGTGTTGTTTTTTATGATTGATGGAGAACCTCGTATACAAAATAAGTCAGTCATATTTTACTTGTTTCTGGTATGGTGTGCAATAGAGATAGTCAGATATCCATATTATATTTTGCGATTATTGAATATTGAAATAGCTTTCTTAACATGGTTGAGATACACGCTATGGATACCGTTATATCCTTTGGGTTTTATATATGAAGGTATCATAATATTGCGAAATATTTCATATTTCGAGGAAACTCAAAAATTCACTGTTTCCTTACCAAATACTTACAATTTTGCTTTCCACTTTCCGTCTCTAATGAGACTTTACTTACTCCTATTACTCTTGCCTGGAATATATACAGTAATGTCTCGTATGAATCAGTTACGTTTTAAGAAACTTGGAAAAACTAATATTAAAAGAAAATATAAATGATTTGTAACGTAAGCAATTACTTGTTCAAGCACAATATTCATCTTTTTTCCTGTAATTACTATTATACAAGGTATAGTAGATTAAATAGAATATCGGTGATTTTATGTTTCTTTTGGAAAGAAAGGTATAATAATAGCTTAACACATACAGCATTCCTAATAATATTACAATTTTGTATAGATCTTTTATTTTATAATTCTTGGTTGTACAGTCGGACTTCTCCAAAGTTGATAGTATCTTATGCATAAGTTAATTTTATTTTATAGCATCACCAAATATTTAGTACATATATACAAATATTATGTATATGAAAAAATGAAATAAATTATGTAAATAAAATGTTGCAAAATCTGGATACCTAATCACATTCTCATTAAAATTATATTCTTTTCTTATCGGTCACTGATTTGGAGATAATTGAAAAAAGATGGCAACACAAAATCAGTGCAAAAGTCCCTGCAGTTTAGTCTAGTTTGTCTTCCCTAACCTACCGACTTTGAAAAGAGTAATAGCATCCCATTGAAGGGTTATTGTATTTGTACACAATTTTGTGGTTGATGAATTTTTTATGACATAAACTATTAATATTTGATTTATTTAAGATAATAAATAATTTGTAACATCTGTATCTCATATTATGTCAAACATATTTTATTTGCTTAAAGTGTTCAGATGTATTTTCTAACCAATATCTCAAACTTGTTATGATACTCAATATTTTGCCTAAATTATTATAAACATTATTAAAAATGTATCCTATTGACTTGACAAAGACAATTCCATCGGCACATGCCAATGAAAATAAAAAAGTATTTTTAAATGATGCCGAATTGGACAATATTGCTCTATTTCTTGTTGGAAATCAACAACGTTTTAGAGAAAATATTATAATTCCAAGAATTCTGGGACCTGTACAAATAAAAACTATTGAAGAGAAGAGAGTGGAAAGTGTAATGGAAAGTTGTGCATTTAAAAGTATCATGAGTTGTGTTATTGGTATGTTTTCTGTTATTATTTTATATATATATATATATATGCATATATTTTTTTTAATCATAAATATTTAAAAAATAAACTTAAAATCGACTTAACAATCGTTAAAATTATGTTGCATCAACTAACGCATCTAATTTTCAGGATATGGTTTGGGAGCGGCCATTGGATTATTCTCTTCCAGTGTAAATCCTAATATAACAAGTGTTGAAAAGCAACAAAGTGCGAAGGAAATATTTAGAGAAATGAAAACTACAACACTTGGATATGCCAAGAACTTTGCGGTTGTTGGATGTGTATTTTCTGCCATTGAGTGTACAATAGAATCGGTAATGCTCATATAACTAAAATGTATATTTTGATAATTTTATTTTTATATAATTTATATTATTTTGCTGGATTGTGTATACATCTTAGAATACATTGTAAATGATGTTTTAATTCTAGTATAGAGGTAAAACTGATTGGAAAAATGGCACATATGCAGGTGGCTTAACAGGTGGATTAATTGGCCTAAGAGGTATTAATGATTTTCATGCATTAAAAGTTGTATCCCTTTTAATTTTCTGTCTAATTTCACGCCATTTTTTTGTAGCTGGTATAAAAGCAGGTATAGTCGGTGCTGCAGGTTTTGCAGCATTCTCAACAGCAATAGATTATTATATGCACAGATCTTGAAACTACTACTGGTTTAAGTTACTGGAAGATATATTTGTATAAAAAAGATATAAAAATTTACACAGTTGTGTATCTGTACAGTTTATGTAAAAAACATGGAAATATTTTAAAGTATGTAAAAATGCTCATATGTAAAAACTAGTATCATATGACCGAAGCATAAAATATATTGCCTTTAATATTACAATATATATACTGCTTAATATATTCATATTTGTCCAAACTACATGTAAATATATGAAACTCTTCCTAAATCACATTTCATATGTTTCGTTGCTTAGATTGTATAGGACAGTTCGTTTAAGACAACACTTATATGCAATACACCTAGTAAATTTTAGTCACATTTATCTTAAACATCAAGTTTTGGACTTCTATCAATACGTTTATGATATAAAATATTTATGAACATCTATCTATTATCTACACACATCTTTCATGAATTCATACACGAAAAACTAAAAAGAAAAGAAAAAAGAATTACAACTGATTAAAAAAAAAAGAAAAAAAACATTGTGTGTATAAATATGTCTAAAATTAACTTTGGATTGCTTTTTCTTAAAAACTGATTTTATACATTATGTGTGTTCACTTGCTTTCAGATTTTTTAATTTTAATAATAAAATAATACAAAACTGTTTTTTTAATAAAAGAGTGAAATATTACATTATATCACGTAATTTCTTTACGTAATTTATCAGTTTTTTTTAAAGCTATATAAAGTCGCTAAAGTTTTTGAATATTTATCTTATATGAATTCAATATGAGATTCTTTATTTAATACTAGCAATATAAGCTTTATCTATAATGTACTTATGAATATATATTGCTCAATTAAAATAATGATTCTTTCTCTTAATTCTGCAATTTAAAAGCCTATGAAAAATGGTCCATAAACAAATTGTTTGCATATTTATAAAAACATTTCTTAATTATATGTATGTTTAATATTTATACTGTAAGAGCGCGGATAGACAAAAATTGGAAGGCACTTTCCACAATTCTTTTCTGTTTCATTTCGTTATATTTTTACCTGAGATGAAATTTTTATTACGTCATATGTTTGATATTTTCTTTTGATTAAAGAAAATATATGGCCAAGATCTAAGATTGAAAAAGAAATTTTGAAGCAAAAAATTATTAAAATCGCTTATAATATATTTACATTTTCAATCCTGATTCATCTTGATAATACAATTGTATTAAAAATCTCATTTAAATGTTTATTATATATACATTAAATTTGTAATGTAAGTAAAATTTTAAATAGTTCGTCACTAATTAAAAAAAAGACAAGAATCACATGAGAAACTACAAAAAATTAAAGACACATATATCTTCCTTATAAATAGTTTCCGTATAAAAATAGAAATACAGAAAATAATACATTCCTAGTTTTTATTCACACGGTAACATTTTTGAAACAAAACAACTCTCGTTCAAGTAAATTTTGTTAAAAAAAAATTAATTAATAAGGATAATCTACTTAAGTGCCTTACCTGCTTAACCTTGGATATGCAAACATTTGTTTCACACTATATTTATAGTTTTGTCGATTGATTGATTCTGTTGGTCATTTGTTCTGAACAAGGCATTAAATTAAGTGTTGACACTTTTAGGTATCTGCGCCACTCACTTTGGATTATATGAAAAAGCGAGCTAATATTTGCGAATAATTCTTGCAATTGACTTCGCCACAAATGCCTTCGTCAATGATAAATGATAATTCGTCAATTAAATGATAAAACAGTCAATTGCAACAATTCTAATGGTGTAAAATGAATAGAGCAAAAATATTGAGGATCTTAACACGTTGACAACGTGCTTATAAAAAAGACGTATCAAAAACAGATTCTACTTTCATATTCTTATGAAAGATGTCTATAAAAACGACGCAAAATGAGGTTGCCTTGATAAAGACAAGCTTAGAAAAATAGTACGTCTAAATCAAGACTTTGATTGTGCAAGCCACTAAAAAAGTTTTGTAATTCCTTCTTTTGGCACTCGTAACAGTGAGGAGTTATTTCCTTCACACGTCAGTAGAAAAATGCATGTTCGATCAAGGTTGTTGTTGTTGCATCTGCGCTTGCATCACAGCCAGAAGTTCCTGCATATGTCGTATCTCTGCCTCCTTTTCCTGCAGAATACGATCCTTTTCCGACACAGGGTTGCTTTTATCGGATTCCGGAGGGCTGCGCATAAAAAGAAAATTTGAAATATTGCACACGCAAAGTCAAAATTCACGAAAATATGAAATATCGCGCTTACTTCTGACGTCGGGGTGGCACGGGAGCTCCCTTTGCCAATCTTTCGCTACGATAGTTTTCGTAATGCACGTCTTGTGTTACTTCTTGTAAATCCTGCATATGAGTACTGCAAAAGAAGATAACAACATGAAATTCTTGTGCGTCATAGCATAAGAATCATAATAGAAAGTAACTTACATCAGCATCGTTCTTAACTTGATGAAATCACAATGTTCAGGATTCTCCACTTCCACGACACCCCATGGATACAATCGACCCCGTACTCTCTTTCCTTTGACCTCGAGCAAGGTATTTGCACCGCATACGGCGAATGGAACCGCCTCTTTCAACTGACGCACTTGTTCTTTGTAATCCTCGTCTTCGTCGCTATCACAGTCCGGTAAAGGATATATTTTGATTCCACTGCCCTCTATCTCTTCCATAACCCTTTTCTTCAGGCGCAAGACTTCTTTTTTGGTAAGTACATCAGCTTTTGCTATTACAGGTACTATATTAACTTTGTTATGAAGTTGCTTCATAAACTCAATGTCCAATGGCTTCAACCTGATCAATGAGGAAGAAAAGAAACACTGATTATATTAATTCATCGTGAGAAACAGTCAATCGTTTTAATTATTGGATTTATGTCCAGCTGTAAATAAATTAATTAAACTTTATGAAATAGGAATTCTTACCCATGACCAAATGGCGAAATGAAATAGAAACAACAGTGTATTCTATTATCCACGATGTTCCTTCTATTTAGACCACTCTCGTCACGAAGAAATCTCTCAAACTGATCGTCAATGTATTGAATGATTGCTCTGAAACTATCTGTGTTATCGATTGCATCTCCATAGCCAGGTGTATCCACAACCGTCAATCTTAGTTTGACACCTCTTTCTTCGATCTCAACTGTTGAAGCATCAAGTTTGACAGTTTGATTGGTTTTCTCTGTTTAACAAAGAATACAATGATTACGTTAATTGTAGAATCTGATATAATTACATATTCCAAAACAGTACAAATATATTCATTTATTTGAACTCACCGACTACATCAGGAATTATTCTTTCAGGATACAAGTCTGTAAGGAATAAACTATTCACCAAGGTGGACTTGCCAAGACCAGATTCTCCAACAACCATTAATGTAAATTCAAAACCCTTTTTCACAGATTTTCTATGTACTTGGTTAGGTAAATTCGCAAATCCCACATACCCAGGTGTCTCAAGACTCGCAAACTAGAAGAAAAGAAAGATGTATTTTCAGAATTATAATTTGATTGAAGAATTACAATTTCTCGAGGCAAAATGTAAATGTATTTTACAATTTTTTTTTTAAAGAAAGCGAGAGAAAACACGTGTATTATTATAATTCTCGATAAAAGTTGATTTTAAAAATACCAGTTATTTAATAATTATATTATTCAATATATTTGACAATAAAAATTAATAATATATTGAATATTTAATTATTGTACACGCGTAAGCACGCCTGATGACTCACACGCGTGTAATTTCAAAAAGTTCAACACTTACTGTTTTTACGCTTTCGCTCGACATATCTGATATATATGAAAAACCTCGCTCTATGTCTCTTTTTATAAAATTGCGGGCAATCTGGCTAAATTCCCACACTAATATAGATTAATGGGACGCAAAGTGACGTGTCAAATGACAGATGGAATGCCGAGTACGTATACGAAAGACAGGTTACTTCAGTCGAAAATATTCCGCTTCGATCGGCATTGTACGAAAATTTCGTTCGATACGTAGAGTTTTGCAGAAGTATAGCCGTATACAGTAGCCACTGAAAGCGTGACGCGGTCGTGCTGCAGTCCAGTATGACGAATAATGGAAAATTTCCACGCGAATTTCAGCAACGGGTGAAAAGTGCACTATACAGACTGTACAGGATACACAGCGTTAGACAGAGAAGACGAAAGGCGCGAGGGGGTGGAGAGGACATTATGAATTGGAGTAAGTTAAGGCGTGGCAACCGAAACACAGCTAGACGGCATTCCGCTGTGTCCTGCGAAGAATTGCATACAATTGTTCTCATCGAATTTTAAATTGATGACATTTTGAATTTTATAGCGAGTTTCAGCGCTCATTTTTATATAATAATTTATAAAATTATAATATACTCACATTAAATTCGTATCAATAATTTTATAAATTATTAATTATAATATAATCATTAAATTCGTATTTTATTTAAATAGAATATAAATGTGATTTTAAATTTATATTTATATAAATTGAAATCAGACAAAATTCAATGACTATAAAACATAGCACTTTTTATCTGAATTTGTAATATATTTAGAGATATAGCTTACAAAATATATTATGAACACGCATATTATTCACAATTACAAAGTACATTTTTGCTTATTTTATTGTAATCGACACATCGCTTATTTTATTCTAATACACTGCACAGATACGAGGCAAAACAACTACTTTATTCAGGAAATAGTATCATATACAAGCATTGTTTTACATAATATTTATTATTATTCCAAGTTTTCGTTTTATTTGCTATTTCCATGACGTTCCGCAGTTCATTTCAAACGTCATTGTTAGCACGATTAATTCATTACATAATTATTAATGTATAATAATAATAATAATCGGCGTATTCCCTTCGTATCACTTCCAGTAATGTAGAAATTTGTGTTGAACCACTCGCATGTTACATTTCACAATCCTTCATTATTCGCGTCGATGAGAAAAATAATTATTTAATAATTAAATAATTATATACTATTATCATAATGAACATATGATCTCCTAATAAACGACTCATACACAATGATCAGCGATAATCGTACGGTGAAACGTAAAAATTCTATGGAAGGAAACGAAATCGGTATGATCGCTCTTCTTTGTACTTTTTTAAAGTCAGATAAAAAATGCTAGCTCGTAAGATGAAATATACATGCCGTGACATTTTATATTTGATAGTTTGTACACATACCCTCAATATTATTACAGACACAAAACCCAACATTAAATTGACACGAGTATTAAAATGTACTCAACTGCATAGCATCTTAACAATCATCGTTTATGTATATAAATCACTATCGCTATTGGAGCATGCATTGTGCATACACACTTTTTATGTATATCGTAGTTACAAGTATTCTATTTTCATTGAATCGAGAAGTTAAATACGAAAGACATTAGAAGAAAGGTGTTTATTCTTGATTAAAAAATGCGCAGAACTTAGAAGAATTGTAATAGATTTATGTCTGTAGCATCCATTCCTGTGGGTGACACTATTTGTTGTAAGTTAAAAAAAAAAAAGATTTCCTGATTGCAATGTCTGAAGAATCATCACTAGATTTTTAGGAAACTATAAGGGAATCTTGGATCAATTTTAAAATTTTATCAACAATGTTTCTTTCCCTAAATTCTTTAGGAAAACACTATTGATGATATTGTTAAATTTTACTTATCCATCATTTTCAATTTCTCTTCTCGAGGCTTTGCCCCTCCATAAATAGAACTCGTTTTACTGGATTCTGCCATAGCATTCACGGGCTCCTTAACCGTCCTTGGTTTTAGCTCTAAACGTTTTCTTCCAGAAGTATCTAAAGTAAGTTATACACATTAAAATTAGAAAAGAAATATATGTGTATATATTTTTTTTTTAATTTTATGTATATATTTATGTACCTGGAGGAGGTGCATCTTTCGGATAAGAATCATCTTGGAAAGGTTTTCGATCTGAAACACCAGTTCCCCGAAGTGGAGGTTTATTACTATATGATCTACTAGACGTACTTCGTGACCAATCACGATTACCACCGGCTTCTTCATTGAATTGGCCATAGTTGCCTCTATTACTTCTAGATCTTTCATCCCATCTATCACTACCTTGCCTGCTAGCACCTTGTGGGCCTCTCTCGTATCCTGTTGATTAAAAAACAAATATTAAAGTTATCATACAGTTAAATGTAAGATTTTAATATAAAAAATATTAGTTTCTGTACATACATTACATACATAAACTAATATTTTTGTTTGCATAGTTACATAAAGTTTTTATTAAAGTTTTCAAGGCATTTTTCTTATTATTCACGTTATACATAAAGCTTACTTGAATATGTAGATTTACTATCGAAGTCATCGCCGTATCCACTACGGCCAGAATCTCGTCCTTTAAATCCGCTTGCACCGCCGCTGCCACCGCGACCTCGCCTATCAAAACCACCACCACGATCATTCCTCTTCCCTTCTGCTACATCAATCTTGATCAAGCATTTATCTACTTCTACCGCTCCGTCCATTTCCAATGCTGCCTCCAAATCAGCCAATTCTTCAAACTCGACATAACAAAAGCCTTTGAATCTGTAAATAAAACAGGAAGTTAAAAAACCAATCTATTTCTACATATAAACCGATGTACTTTTTTCTTCTATAATGGATACATACTTGTCAGTGTCTCTATCTTTAACCAATCTGATGACTTTGACATTGAGCTTCTCAAAGATTTTGTCAACGTCACCTTGCACAATTCCATTTGGCAAATTTCCCACATATGCAGTATACGGAGGTTCTGTCGGCAATGGTTTCCTACTACGATGACCACTGGAATAATCTCTGAATATAAAAAGAAAAATATTTATTATTACAGACAGAAGATATTATCGTTGCAAATGTTTTGTAATTTTGATTGCATCTTATTATATTCACAAATTATGTGAAATATTGTAGTATTTTCATATTGTTGTGTGTTTTCTAAGTAAAGAAATCTTGAAATAAAACATTGTTATAAATGTACATTGATGTGACTTCTTAAAATAAACTTGTTATGCTTGTATGTTAATAAGAAATAGTTTTCAAAACTAATCGTATTCATCCAAATCATTCATTGCAATGTACTTAAAAATCTCTATATGTTTGTGAAACTATTACAAATGTTCAGTCTCTTCTTACATTGTTACACTTTTAAATCCTATGTATTTCATAAATTAAAAGGAGCTCAATGAAGTAAGTAAAATATTATCATAATAAAGACACATCGACTCTTTGAAGTAAATGTACAAATGCAATGCTAATTCAATGAGAAATAATGTTTCTCGCTACTGATTACACTTGACTGCTTCGCAAAAATTCGCAAATCCCAGTATCGTCGCACGCTCCGCAATTGTGGCCGATCACTAAGGCGCGGAATCTCAATCGAACCGATCGGCTCACACGCGTGTATTACGCGACCACGTACGCCGCATTCGACTTCTCGGTCTTTTCGTTATATCATACCGTTGATGAAGTTCCAGCATATTACGAATAAACTTCACCAACCGGCCAAAATAAAGCCGCGTGTCGAAATCCCGCAAGGTGTTGCGCTGCACTCGCGTATCGTAGCTCACTTAACCTTAAAAACGGAGAAATAATCGCGAGGAACACGCGTGTCTTCAACGGTCAGACACGCCGCTTACATTTCGCGAATACACTGTTCCTGAGGAGCTCTCCGAACGTGTGACAGTACCGTAAATGCAGCCGATACTTGCCTTGAATCGTCGTAACCACCTCGACCAGCCATATTGAATGCACGGAACTGACCGGGACTGCGTGAGTCGAAGCGATCACCGCGCGTGCAACATGGCACTTTCACCGACAATTTATCGACGGGCGAATGCTAATGTACGCGCGTGTACTAAGAGAATTTAACTAATCAAGCCGGTAAAATGACAGGTGTGCAGTATAGTTTAGGTCGATGCAGATAGATTCGCTTAACTGCGCGATGTACATGCATCAAATTAAAAAATCGACCAATCATACATGTAATGTATGCAAGCGGCGTACGTAGCAACGTGACTTTTGTCAAGTCAGACAAGATTGTTGCACAATGGCACCGACAGACAATATTGCAATTGCATTTTTGCACATTTTCAGTTACAATTATTTTTCAATGTTATTTTGTATAAATATGTCTTAAAAAATAATGCAATTATTATGAATGATTCACACTGCGTTCAATGTTTGATGCATGAATTGACGATATCCAATAGAAAAATCTACTTTCTAGGGATTTTTTTATCAAATGTAAAAAACAAATGTAATGTGAGTTCTTCATAATCTAAATATTTTATTTTTATTGTAATTGATATAAAAGCAAAACAATTCTGAAATGAACAAACTATTATCATATACCTAACATAGTTTTAATATATACATATAAATAATTTGTATATCAAATTGTAGTTTTAAAGTTAAAATATTTTATTCGTATCGTCAATTGTTTCATACAAATCCGTCTAGATAAGGCTTTTTTGCATAGCAAAAATTCCATAATGTAATCAATTACGTTTTAAATTTGCGAAATTGTCGAAATTAGTTTCAACATTTAATTCATTAGTGTAATGATAAAATTCTGAAATTATTTATAAATGTATATAAGTAAAAAAAAAAAAAAAAAGAATCCGCATGCAGTATGTAACAGCAGTTACGATTATTAGAGATTTTTCTCGATAATGTAATTTTTAAAATAAATATAATTTTTAAAAATTTTATTTTCTAAGTATTACATTTTTTAATCATGGTCATTTCTTTTATTAATTTAATTCGTACATTCGTTTCATTAACGTAGTCTCGAAATATCATGCAAATCAAGATGGTTGACATAATGCACATGAATGTGTAAATGATCCGCGCGACGGGCACATGGTATAGTTTCAGATAATCGTAAATGACAAAAATTAGCAAAATGAATTCCAAATCCATATTAGATACATTTAATAATTTAAAAAACGACAAAGATTCAATAAGATTTAATGCTGGAATCACATTGTTAAGTGATTTCCATCAACATAATACGGTAAGTTAATTTATAACCTCACATATACCGAGCTATTTAAACTTCTTTCACACAATGAAAAAGAAAGAAGGATTAATTTGTAATAAATATTTAAGAAATGATTATGTTAAACTGCAATATTGATTTATTTGTACAGAATGAAGATGATAATGAGTTAAATCATGCACTAATCAGACTAGTACGTAGTTTGGGATCCTCAAACACATTTACTAGAAAAGGGTTTTATAGTACTTTTACAGTTTTTCTAACAATGCATCCTGAAACATCAATAGAAAAACTTCTGTCTATAATGAACACTCAGTTACATCCATCAAGCAATAATCCTAAAAGTGTATGTCTTTTATTATAGCTTTGCAAATTTTTTTCTAAAGTTTCTGACGAAATATAAAGTATAATTTAAATCCTTTTGCAGGAAAATGCTGACATTTTCATGGGGCGTATATTGCTGTGTGGTGCATTGATACGATCCAAATTACTTGCTCAAAATAGTGTTGAAATACAACAAAAAATCATAGAGATTCTTCTGAGCGCTGGTAGAGAACGTAGTTATTTGTCATTTATAGCTGTTATGTTTCTCAACGAGTTTATTATTCAGCTTGATATTAAATCTATGAAAGAAATTTGGCCAGTTGTTGAAAAAGAAGTAGCCAAACCATTGTCTGAACAGACTTTGGATATGTTTTATATACTACTTGTTCTTAGAGATAAATATCCATCACTAGTTAATCAAAAGTTTCTGAAGCAACACTTGGGTGTGAAAGAGATTATTACTGAAGAATCTATGGAAGATATTGTCAAAATATTAACGGTATGTTAAAGCATTTCAGTAATTGTTATTGAAAATAAGAAATATTTTAGTTATATTTATTATTGTATAATGCTTATGTAAAAATTCTGCATTTCTATTATTCAGAGCCTATATAGGACTGTTTCTTATCGCCATCCAGTGTTTAAGCTTTTTTGTGAAAAGCTGATGTTAACCGAACATGTAGCAGATTTTTGGAAAAGCATTGATCAGAGATTTAAAAAACCATCAACCAGTGATGAATATGTTGCCACACAAATTTTGCGACTGATGCTTCCTAATATTACGGATAAAACTGTAATTCCATTACTGTTATCTCCAAATCTTCTACAGCACATGTTAAAGAGATTTTCCAATTGTAAAAAGAGTAATAATGATGAGGTTTTAACAGCATTCAGAGAAATTTTACATTTGGTGGTAACTGCTACAAGTGATAAAGACATCAAGACGAAGACACAGCTGAGTATTTTGAAAAAACTCGTACTATATCCTGGTGACATAATGATAGAAAAGAAGACAGGTACCAAAGTGATTCAAATTATCATGGGAAATCTAAGATTAGATGGTATCAAGAAATTATGTCAACTGTACAAAGATATTGTGGAAAACAAACTAATTAAAGAAAGAGAATATTCGAAGACAGAATCATGGACAAATGCTGAGCGAAGTTACGCAGCACAGTTATTAACAAAGTAAATATAAATCTAATATAATTGGCACAAAGGATATAAATTATTTATTATCATTTCTTATAAGCTTAAAGTAACTTAATATTATTGTACTAAATGCATTTTTTCTTTGATTGTTTTAGATTAATAGGTTATCGAGAGACATTCGCAGATCAAGATTGGAGACTTGCTCAACTAACATTTTTATTCAATTATGGATTGTGTGAAATATCAAATGTTGGAATAGAACTAGCACGTAAGTATTTCATATTTATCTAAAATTGTCGGTTAAATATTAAAGCATTTATATATTAATTATTATTTTCAGCGCAATTTAAAGATTCTTTTTATCGTGCTCTGGATTATAAATTACCGAAATTGAACGATGTCCGAAATCTATTAAGTGCACTCGTTCATGATTTGAACTCAAAATTGGAATCAAACGAGATGCGATTGAGGGTGCCGTTGAGCGATGCAGCATCCGATGCTTGGAAAAGAGTGATAAATTTGATTGGAAAATTAGGGAAGAATACAAAAAACGCAGAAGTATTTCACACCATAAATTTACACATGAGTCTACAATTATTCTCAGATCCTGAAATGGCAATTATGTCGATTAACGAACTTCAGAGTTGTTATGAGAGATTAAATAAAAAATCGAAGGGACGAAAACAGCTGAATAATGCAGACGCGGAAGAGGAGCCGGAATGGGTCGAAGTAGTGGTAGATCTTTTGCTATCCCTTTTGTCCAGAGATAATCACTTATTGCGCTCATTAGTCGGCTCTGTATTTCCACATATTTGTCCACATTTGACACCATCCGCTGTCCATCAGATATTGGCTGTAAGTTGTTATTTGTAAATTTAAAATCTGTTCTTTAATTGCATTATATATAAATAATGACAAAGGAGACTTGTATCGATCTACTAATTTTATGGAATGAAGAATTTGTGAAAGAATGATTAGATTATAGTACAATTGTTGCGTTTTCTCTTAGGTACTAAACATAAAGGATGATCAAAGTACACTTATCACAAAGCAACGTGATGAGGACTCCTCGGGCATTGAAAGTGAATCGGACAATGAGGACGATGAGGAAGAAGAGGAAGAAGAGGAGGAGGAAAATGATTTAAGCAGCGAAGTTTTATCGGAAGAGAGCGAATCCGAGCCTGATAGCGATGTAAATGAGGACGAGAACAAGGATGAGGATGAGACGATAACTGACCAGTTGAGAACGGCAGTATCTCAAGCTCTAGGAGACGCTGCAACTCAAACCGACGACGAGGATATCGACGTGGATCAGATAAGTGAAGAAGAGGGCAAACGGTTGGACGCGTCGTTGGCAGCGGCTTTCAAGATTCTACGAGAGAACCGACAGGCCCGTTCTAAAAAACAAGGAAAGACGAGCCAGGCGTTGACACACTTTCGAGTTCGTGTCATCGATTTGCTGAACATCTATTTAGAAAACTGCCCGTCTATGGCGGTCACTCTTGACATGATCGTGCCACTTTTTACTCTGTTAGAATTCTGCATAAAGGACCCGCATCAGAAACCACTCGAACATAGAGTTCGAGCTTGCTTAAAAAAGTTGTCGACGGTGAAAAAGTTCAAAGATACGACGGGTGTGGATAATACTTTGTTGACGACAATATTGAAGGTATTTATCTGTAATTTTAAGTTTTGTTGATTAGATGACCTATTAATTTTTAATTAATTTTTTAAGGTCTTAATCGAAAAGGGAGAACGTTCTGCTTCGGTCTGTCAAGAAATAAATGACAAGTTGGCAGAGTGCTGCACCTTCCTCGTACGATGTTTGCAACAAACCGATTTACCCATTGAAAGTGTCGTGGAAATTTATGCCGAGAACTTGACTGCGTTCTTCATAAAAAGGGACTGCGTGCTTCCGCCCGTATTATTTAGGGGTGTATTACAATTGTGCTGGGAAGGCAACTGGCAGTTGGCAGCTTTATTGGTATATGTTTACAACATATTGCGTTTCATATTTTTCGTGGAAAATATTTCTCCTTTAATCGAATACTGTTTTGTTTGCTTAGGTGCACTTTGCTTTTGACAGCAGTATTCGATACTTCCGCAGAAGTCAGGCACTTGAACTGTTACAAATTTTGTATAATAACAATCGATTGCTGCGTATGGATACGACAAAGTATGCCGATGTAAGAATGCTATTAGAAAAGACGCTTTGTAAGAATACGATAGACACATTCACGGAGTTGAGTTACTTGAACGCAAGCGATAACGGGCAGACCACTTCATGCAATGGCATTGTGCAGAAAAAAGTGCTACAGAAATTTATGGTTCATCTTTTGACGCTGTTGCGTACTGTTCATGCAAATCACTTGCCGCAAGCGTGGAATTGGCAAACTGTTAAAACGACGTTAACAACAATGCATGGAAGTAGCAGCGTTCTCTTCAAGGATGCGAAAAATGTTTATAATAAATTAGCAATGCAAATAGGTGCACCGCTTAATGTGTGAGTATAAATATAACTGGATTCTCAAAAATTAGTTTGTTTATACTTTTATAAGTTATAATTTTTTTTTGTATTATTTAACATAATTTTCAGGCCATCGGTGAAGAACAGCACTAAGTCGAATAATTCAACTGATGTTGCTTTACAAAGTAATGGCAAAAAAAGCGACGTCAGAGTCCAAAATGGAAAAACGAGTGATGAAGAAGAAGAAGAAAAAGAAGAAGAAACTGCACACGATAATGTGCAAAAAAAGAAAAAAAAGAAGCAGAAACAAAAGGAAAAACGTTTATTGAATATAGCAGCGCGTGAATTACGTACAAAAGCTATGTCTGAAGGTTTAGAGCTATTTAAATTCAGTAGTGTCAATAAATTGCCAGTAATTGTCAATACTTTGCCAGTAAATGACATAGATAAGACGGAAGATTCTCAAAATTCATCCAATCAGACTACAAATTCAAAAAGAAATTGCGAACATGTAGAAGAAAATTGCGAATCTAAAAGAAGAAAAAAAAGTATCGATCGTGTTTGATATAATTTTGCAAAATAAAGATTAATGCATACAAGCACAAACAACAAGTAAATATTTGGAATACGTCTGCATGCCCTCAGTTTTAACAAAAAGAAATCTTTATATATAAAATGAAATCTGCATGTAGCTAAAATTTTTGCTTTTCAATGTTGGACAAATTATTAGAAATACATGTTAATTTCTTTGTTTTATGTTTTATCAGATGATGAATCAGCTTATCTTTTATCAGATGATGAATATGTTATATTATACTCATCAATGATATATTTGTCTTTTAATATGGCTATATGCACAATATTTTTCATTATTTTGTGATAAAATTACTACATGAAACTGTTTAATGTAAAAGCAGATGTATCCTAAGTAAAATATTTATAAGAATATTTTTATAGATTGGAATATTTCTTATTACTCTTATTGTAACTCTGTACAAAATATAAATGTATAAATAAAATTTTAATTCAAATTAATGAGAGAAAAAACATTGAATTAACAAAAGATACATATAACGCTGTATACGCCATTTACAAGTGCAACAGCACTTTTTCGAAAACTTATTTTTTTGAAGATCAATATAATAAATTATTTTTGCATAAAAAAACCGTGAGAAAATAATGCACATGCAGTCTTTAGATACCAGAACCGGTTACAATAAATTCCACTAGTAGATTGCAGAGTGTGCTGAGTTCGCACGTCACGTTCGATCAAAACTGCGATCGAGCTCTACATATCTCGATGTTACTATATAAATACTCGAGAGACGTCGAGAGATCAGAGCAGACTGGTGCAGACCAGAGTAGACTAGAGTAGATTGGAGATGATACGTCTCTTGCATTTATTCTCTTGATTTGTATAATTTGCGTGAATCCGACAACATGTTGCGTGTGCTGAAGAAATTTCGCGATATCCGATATTTCTCGACTGCGGCCCTACCGGCACCAGATACGAATCCACCGATTCTATACGCAGGAGTAAGTACGAAGTTGCATGAATAAATATTCGTGTTACGAGTATTCACTTATCGACGCATAATATGACTTAGATTTGCAAACAGCATCATAAAGTGGTTACTAAAATTACATAATCTCTAATGGTGCGATTAGATATACAAATGTTAATAGAATTTTTTTCTGGTTAGAATTAACCTATCTCTACTGATTCGTTGTTATATATTTGTTATTAACGATAAGCGAAACATTAAGCGCATTTTATATAAGAAATTGAAATAAAACCGATACATTTTTCAATTGCATTATTTACGAAATCTATGGTGATATTAAAATTACACAGTCTCTAGTTTAATCACTGATTTAACCTTTGAACCAATTACTGATCTAATATCTAGATTAATTACATTTTATATTCTGATTTATGATCTAAACATATACTAATATATATATCATAACCTTGAATTTGAATGGTCAGAATTGCAAAATTTTAGGTTTTTTACTTTGGAAAAAAAAGAGGAAAAAATTTACGAAAAAGTTACATTCATTGCTTCATATAACTTTTTTTGTGCAACAATTCTCCGTAAGATCAGTCTTGCTATTCAAAAGTTAATTTATTCCTTTCACATTCAGCGTTCCAATGAGCAAAACCGTCACAGTTTGAAAAGGTCATCTGTTATATGTTGAGGTCTACTTTATGTATTATTTACAATCACCAACTAGCGATTTTATTCGCGTTTAGTTTCCGAAGCAAGCTTTTGCGCACAATGAATAAAATTACAATACTTTCAAGAAAACATATAATATTTTAAACATAAATATATTTAACAATATATTCTAATATTTTAAACATAAATAATGTATAAAACAATAATTTCCTCTTTTAATTTGATTTAATTAAATAATCAATGAGAGCGCAAAAAATATAATATATGTACGTTATTACAATATCTTAATCTTATTTTGCTTTTTTTACTATTTTACATAATAGCAATATTAATATTTTAATTAAAATTAATAAGAAACTGGGAAAAAGTCTAAAATTATAAATGCTTCGATGATTAAATATTAAAATTGAAATAAACGGTTCAGCTTGTCATCACACAGAGCATCGATCATTAATTTTTCAGTAATTTTTTCTAAGAGACATGAAAGATGAATTTTATGTGAATTCGACAATTCTATTCACGTGAAATTTTCACTTCTAGGGAAAAATTACATGATCGATGTTAATTATCGGTGTTAATAATAATATTTAAACGTACGCAATTTCTTGACCATCTGTTTCATCATTTAATCAAGCATCATTATCAAGGTTAAAAATTGACCAACTGTTGCATATTTAATCAAGTATCATTATCAAGGTTAAAAATTGATATCATTATCAAGGTCTAAAAAGTCTTGATATGTAAATGGATAATTTTGTTACAAGATAGCTAAATTCTTAATTTTTTATGACAAATCAAGTTACACGATTTGCAATGAAAACCGGTTACGGCTTGTTCGCTTTTCCTGTGTAATTTTTTGATAAAATCTTATTGATCTTATCTTATAATTTACGATAAATTATACGATTAATAATATCATTTCTTGATCTAATTTGTGATAAATTGTGAAATGTTTACAAACAACGTTCCACATTTCTGTCAAGTGTTCTTATCGAAGAAACGAGTTAGATTTATCGATAAAGCCATATATATGATTTTTTGTTTTATCAAAAAGTACACAGGAAAAGCGAACAAGCCGATTATTAGAGCTACAATTTATATTACATTCCGATCAATATAAAATAAAAATTAAACACGTTGCAGTTGAAAGTTAAATCCGAACAATTATAAATAATTATAAAACAGATATCAGAACGCAGTTAAGTTTGAATTAAGAGACTATAATTCAAAACAAAACAGTAAACATAAGATAACGAGAACTGCAAACATTTTAGATTGTCGAGATGACTCGTTCACCTTTTCTTGTGATTTTCTGATATTACCTTCAAGCCTCATTATTTATATTTTCTTGTTTTATATTTCATAACGTATGTATGCTTGTCCTTTATATTATAAAAAGACATATTTTCTTACAGATATTTATCAATAATGAGTGGCACAAATCCAGATCTGAGAAGACATTTCCTACTGTTAATCCTGCTACGGGCGAAATAATCGCCGAAGTGCAGGAAGGCGATAGCGCGGATATTGATATCGCTGTGCAGGCCGCTAAAAGAGCCTTTAAAAGAAATTCACCATGGCGAACTATGGATGCTTCTCAAAGAGGAGTTCTCTTAAACAGATTGGCTGACTTGATGGAGCGTGATAAAAAATATCTAGCGGTAAAATATTCAAAAAGATATTAACAATATTTCAGAAATTATATTCTAGAATAATATATTTAGAGCGATAAAGTCAGGAATTAAAGTAAAAATATTTGTATCTTTGACTAATATTTTACTAGCGTGAAAAGTGTGCGTTTCCTTAGCAGGTAGTAATTGATAAGTGAGTGATAAGTAAATTCCGCATAAATATCGCTTGTGTTGTTCGCAGTTATTCGAACTTGTTCTAGTAGTTTTCTTATCTCTGGAATAATCTTTTTTTTAACGCAAACGTGATTTTTAAGCAATATTTTCAGCATTATCATGTTTTGAAGAACTTATCGAATGTTGTAAAGCGCAAGTCATGATGTTTCATACTGCTAATTCTTAGAATGTAAATTTAGAAAATCAACCAACATTAAAGAATCATGAAAACTTTTTTACTCGAATCAGAAAGACAAGTTTGACTCGACTGATTTTTCGCGAATGTTAATTCACTGCCTTTATAATGTTTCAGTCGTTAGAAACCTTCGACAACGGCAAACCGTATTCAGCTTCATATAATGTGGATTTGGCCGGTAGCATTGGCGTGCTCAGATATTACGCAGGATGGGCTGACAAATGGCATGGGAAGGTTATACCCGCTGATAGTAAAATCTTTGCATATACAAGACATGAACCAGTGGGAGTATGCGGCCAAATTATTCCGTGGAACTTCCCCATATTGATGATGGCGTGGAAATTGGGCCCAGCTTTAGCTACAGGTAAATACAAATATATTTAATATATCATATATTTTAATAACATATAATATATAATATATTTTATTATAAAACTTCGCCGTTGTTGACGAAATTTATGAAATTACGAGCGTAATAATTAAATGTTAAATTTTTTTTTATTTTTTAGGAAACGTTATCATCCTGAAACCTGCGGAACAAACCCCGTTAACAGCTCTTTATATAGCGCAACTGACGAAGGAAGCCGGCTTTCCTGACGGAGTGATCAACGTGGTTCCTGGCTACGGTAAAGCCGGAGCTGCATTAGTAAATCATGATAAAGTCGATAAGATCGCATTTACGGGGTCTACAGAAGTCGGTCAGCTAATAAAGCAAAATGCTGCTATAAGCAATTTAAAAAGAACGACGCTGGAGTTGGGTGGAAAATCTCCCAATATTATCCTACAGGACGCCGACTTAAGTCACGCGGTGGAAACAGCTCATTTTGGATTATTCTTTAATATGGTAATTTATCTTGTCATTTTGTTTATATTCAACTTGTACGCATCTCCTTTCTGCTATTCTCTCTCTTATCTCCAAATTTGTATCAGGGTCAATGCTGCTGCGCGGGATCTCGAACTTTCGTTCAATCAAAGATTTATGATGAATTCGTGGAGAAGAGTGCGGTTCGCGCCAAGTCTAGAACCGTGGGAGATCCATTTGATTTGAAGATAGAGCAAGGTCCACAGGTATATTGAAATTCGTACAGATCATACAGAGATGGCAACTGATTAATATAATAGTAACAATCGATATTGTTAACCAGATTGATGAAGAGCAATTGAACAAAATTATGAATCTGATAGACTCCGGTAAAGAAGAGGGTGCTAGCTTGGTAACAGGCGGCGAGCGTGTCGGCGATAAAGGATATTTCATCGCTCCGACGGTATTCGCAAACGTGAAAGACGATATGACTATAGCCAGAGAAGAAGTAAGCATTAAGCATCTATTATCACAAAGTGTTGTGAGAATTTCAATAAAAAATCTATGACAACGTTTTGCTAGATCTTTGGTCCGGTTCAGCAAATTCTAAAATTTGACGACTTGGACGAAGTTATTGAACGCGCTAATGATACCGATTATGGATTGGCCGCTGCAGTTTTCACAAAAGATATCGATAAAGCGAATTATATCGTGCAAGGTCTTCGTGCGGGTACCGTATGGTAAGTTGTATGGAAATATACTAAAAGATGAAGATGTGTTCTAGAAAAACAGTTTACGTTATTTTTATTTTTCTTTAATTTTTATATAGGGTCAACACATATAATGCTCTGGTCCCCCAAGTACCGTTCGGTGGCTACAAAATGTCCGGACATGGCAGAGAGCTTGGAGAGTATGGCCTTGAGGCGTACACGGAAGTAAAAAGTGTCATTGTCAAACTAAATGAGAAAAATTCCTAAAATATATATATTATATATACATTTAAAGAATTTATATATATATATTTTTTTATATACATATAACTTTGTTCCTAAAATATATATATTTTAAGAATTTTGTATTAATGTAGTTGAAAATAGCAAAATTGGCACTTTGCTTAAAAATTCCACAAATCTAATTTTGCCACAGTTCTTGCATAATTTCTTTTGCAACAATTTATTATAATTCTTCCCGATGCTTTTTATTTATATGATTACAGTAGAAGAGTAAAGAATAAGAGATAATTTTTTATAGCATATTTACAGCTCATCAAATTCCGCATAACTAAATTCACTCGTTAACTCAACCAATTCTTTAATATTTATATCCTTTTTACTAGTATCGATTGGAAATTTGATTCAAACATGCCTTCTCTCTCTAAATCAGTTGGGCAATCTGATGGAATATCTCTTATATGGTAGTTTCTGTCAGCTAATTTCATGAAATCCATATAATGATCTATGATTGCACGAGGTGTTTTTCGGCGGACATATTCAAGTGCCTTGAGAAAATGGCTTGTTTTAATAACATTAATGCAGTAGCTCTCCTGTAATGCTAATATACTAGCTTCGTTGCGAATCGCCTCAAGTTCCGCACAAGTATAATCATTCGTTGACTGAATTAATTCTGTGAAATTTATGTCCTCTTGAACTGACATCTTTTGGAATTTTAATTTGAATATAAATTATAATATAATATATTTATAATATAAATTAATATAATATAATATATTTATAATATAAATTACTAAACGATTCTACGCGAAAAAAAAAGTTCAAATTAAAATTTTAAAAGCTCTTTAACTAACATCTTTTGGAATTTTAATTTGAATATTTTTTTTCGTGTAGAATTGTTTGGTAATTTATATTATAAATATATTATATTATATTAATTTATATTATAAATATATTATATTATAATTTATATTCAAATTAAAATTCCAAAAGATGTCAGTTCAAGAGGACATAAATTTCACAGAATTGATTCAGTCAACGAATGATTACACTTGTGCGGAACTTGAGGCGATTCGCAACGAAGCTAGTATATTAGCATTACAGGAGAGCTACTGCATTAATGTTATTAAACAATGCATTTTCTTAAGGCACTTAAATATGTCCACCGAAAAACACCTCGTGCAATCATAGATCATTATATGGATTTCATGAGATTAGCTGACAGAAACAATCGTTTAAGAAATCTCCCATCAGGTTGCCCAACTGATTTAGAGAGAGAAGGCATGTTCAAATCAAATTTCCAATCAATACTAGTATCAGAGTGATATAAATATTAAAGAATTGGTTGAGTTAACGAGTGAATTTAGTTATGCGGAATTTGATGCGGTGTGCACTCAAGCTGGCATATTAGCATTAGAGGAGAGCTTCTGCATTGATGCTATTAAAAAACGCCATTTCCTTAGAGTAATCAACTTGCTACGCTTTAGAGCACCAATACATCATGAAAATGAAAATTATGATGAAAATTGCCTTCTCTCTCTAAATCAGTTGGGCAACCTGATGGAATATCTCTTGCGAAGGTACAAGCGCATATATTTCAGAACAACGCTTTCAACAGATTATAAAATTCTAGATAAAGACAAAATTACAAAGAGTTTGTACAGTATTAAGGATATAGATGGCATAGAATATACAATCGCCTTATAAGGCGATCCAGAAAACAGATTAATTCCTTCGGAAATTTTTGAATATTTACATAGAATGCCGACACAGTACACGTCCAATTATTTCAAAATAACTTTCAACTAATTTTAAAATTCTGGATAAAAACGACAAAGTAAAGAGTTTATACAATATTAAAGATGTAGTTGGCGATAATAGTCTTATAAATGACATGAAACAAGCAATTGAAATAGTATTTAAACAAAAGTACTTTAACCGAATTACTATACGATCAGCCTCGAACAAACTCGATACTTCGTCGTTTTTATCTAGAATTTTAAAATTAGTTGAGTTTTATTTTGAAATACATGTCGTATGTCGATATTCTATGCAGATATTCAAATAATTCCGAAGGAATTAATCTGTTTTCTAGATTGCTTTATAAAACGACAATATCCATCTATATTCTTAATATTGTACAAACTCTTATAGTTTTGTTACAATTTGCGTTAGAAAGTAAAAAAATAATAGAAATTAAAGAAAACTTTTCGAAATATTATAACATATCGTTGTATTCTCATGTAAAATGCAATTTTGCAACTTTGAGACTTACGGTCTTAGTATCGGTTACATCGGAATAATCATGACATTTAAAAAAAACACTTATACGATCACGTATAGCGAAATACTTTATTATAAAAGTATTTCGCTTTGTCAGATACGTGAACGTATAAGTGTTTTTTTAAAATGTCATGATTATTCGGATGTATACCGATACTACAGAAACAACATTGTACAAATAAATTTATAATTTTATAAATTTTGTTATGTACTATCTTGCATTTGTAAACTATATTTATAAATTTATAAAGGAAGACGATTTTATGAATTAATTAATGTTAATTAAATATATTAATTATCGACTTTTCTGCGAAGACAAAATTTGTCAATTATTTATTCCATACAGTCACAAATATTGTATTTCTATTTTATTTTCTAATACAATTTTTGTTTATGTATTTTCATTATTTTTCAATTTTATCATAATTTAAATTTATTGTAATAATTCGTCTATAGAGATCTTCGAAATATAACACGTTAATTGTCAGTAAAATGTGCCAATTAAAATTTTTGAATTTTATTTGCTCGAGAATTGTACATAATGTGCTTATTATAATCGAAATTAATTGGTTATTAATAAAATGGCATTTTAAAACAAATATAATATAGTATCTTTGTATAATTTAAAAATATTGAAAACAAATATTATATAATTATAATAGTTCATTCAGCATTTTCTCAATCTTTCCAATCTAATAATACAATCAGAAAATAATATGAAATGTATTCCACAATCAAAAGCTTATGCAACGTTTGCTAACCAAAAGATGTCCAAAATATGAAAATACGACATGTTCTCTTAGTTATTAATTCTTACACAATTGTATTAACTGAAATATTTTGGATTAATTTTGAATTAATTTTATTTTAAAGATTATAATCAATAATCATAGAAAAATATGAAGGAAAAATTTAATAAAAATTTTCTTTAAGAAAATAATTACTTTTTAAGAAATCAATAAGAGAGGATAAAAAAAACAAAATTATTGATATTGTGCGTAAAATAATGATGTATTAATTCTCAAGTATCGCAAACTTACGAGAGATCGTGCTATATTATTAAAGCAAATTATAATTTAGAGTATAGAAGAATACTCTAAGAATATTAGTCCAGTCTAGCAAAAACGTAAATCCTATCATTGATAGAAATTAATATAAAAATGTATGAAAAAAATCGTAAAATCACTTTGTCGAAACTGGCAGACTTGATTCATGATAAATCGATGATTTAATTAGTAGTTTACTTCTGCATTTATATAATTTTTAATTTTCTCTTAAATCTAAAAAAATTCTAAAAAATTTTTCAGGATTTCTTATCCCAACTGAAGACAAAAGATTGTTCGTATGTCTTTATTTCCTTTTTATCTCTCATCTATATTTATACGTTGATATTATAATTCACCTCAATGCCATGATATTTCGTTTATTCTATTATCCTACATTGTAAAGTTGATTTCAAATTTTATTATATTTGTTATATGTCTTTAGAACACATTGCAATTATTTTATATATAAATAATTAAATATAAATTTCTTAAAAAATCATTAGTTTAAAAGATACGTTAACACGTCTTACATGGCATTGTTATTATCATACAAACCGAGTATGAGATACTATCGTGTCTCCTATTATTTATTAGTTAGGTTTAACTGACGTATCGATATTTACATTCAAATAAAAGACTATGTGTCTTTCTTTGTAATCTTCTACCGCACACTTTTTGATGGAAAGGCTCTTGTATTGTATTCAGTCATCTGCGTCCTGTAAGTTGAAACGGACATAATGTCAGAAACGATTGTAACTAAAGAAAACGTGTGGAACTATTACAAAGAACTGTCGCATTGGGAAGCAAAATGCAACTTTTGCAACAAAAAATTGGCTTATATCTCATACAATAAGTTGTTGTATGCGCATATAAGAAGAAATCATGAAATAATACATATACTTGAACAAGAAATACGTGGACGACAACAATGGCCATGGATATATTTCAAGAATGTGTACAATTATACTTCCGGTGAAAGCATATTAGACGTAAAATGTCTTTTCTGTGGTGTAAATTGTGATTATACTATTGAATCATTAGCAAATCATTTACGTAATCATTCTAATAAGAAAGAACTGGAAGATTACATGTTTGACAATTGGATATGGAAATATTGTACAAAACTTGCTAATTTTAAAATAACGTGTAGTATTTGTACTTCTGTTAATTACGATACTAAATTAAATAAGAATATGAATAAACATATATATATATAAGAATGGAACATTCAAACAAGTTGGAAAATATGCAAGGAGCACTCAACACAGTGTTGTACACACGCACTTTATTACAATTTACACAACATCAAAAAATAAAAGAAAACTTTTCGAAATATTATAACATATCGCTGTATTCTCATGTAAAATGCAAATTTTGCAACTTTGAGTGTTGTTACATAAATACTAGTAGTTTTACTGAACATCTAGACAAAGAACATAAAGAAATCTTTAACCGGGAAACAACATTCAATGGTATAAAATGGCCATGGATGTATTTCAAGTATTCGTTTCAATATATTTTCAACAATTGCAAAATTTATTCAGTATGTTTAATCTGTGGTGTAATTCCGTTCACTGATGATTCTTTAAGAAAACACTTAGATGAGCATTCTCAGAAAGAACGAGATGATTACACAGGGAGTATCTCACAGTTGGCTATGGAAATATTGTTGCCGAAGTGATATATATGATGTAAAATGTAACATTTGTTGCAAATATGTACCTATAATTATTATGCCCGATGTAATAAATCATATAATAGAATATCATGGATGGGACATTATGCAATCGAATATCGCAATAGAACTATCGAAAAATTACATAAAATTGGTAAATTTTCATGCAAAATGCCAATTTTGCGATTTTCAAGATTATTACGTCGATATTACAAAATTTACTGAACATGTAAAAACAACACATCAAGAAATAATTACATACGAAAAATTATATGTAGGAAGACCGTGGACGTATTTCAGATACTTCAAGACAAATCGCTTACAATGTTGTCTCTGCAACACAGAATATTCGAATAATCGTGTCACTTTAAAACACCACTTATTCAGTCACTTTTCTGACAAAGCGGAACACTTTGTCGATTGCGGCTGGGTATGGAAATATTGTAGAAAAATAGGAGATTTTAATGTGCAATGTAGCATTTGTCATTGGGAAACATCTCTTGACGTTCCATTATGGTATTGCAATCATCATATTGAAGATAAACATCCGAACACGCTGATAACACAGGATGTGCAACATACACAGAGAACGTATGACATAGCTGGACCATCAGGAAGCCAATCAAACTGAAGAAAACAGGTGACAATGTGTTTCATTAATATTGTTGTCAATATTTTTATGTATAATTAAGTTTTACTTTTTTCGAATCGCATTATAATTTATTAATATGTAATAAGAAGAGGAATAACTAGACAATTTTTTTTTAATAAATATTAAAATATATAAATATTAAATATTAAAAATATTAACATAGGTTTATCCAGAATTTGACAAAGATGATGACGGCATTAAAATAGCATCACAATCAATAACAGCAGTCTTGGCAATTCAAATAATTTAAATTACACGAGAAAAGTGACATAACTTTGACGTATAAGTATTCGTTTTTTTTTTATAAAGTTATAAATATGTTATAAATATGTTTATAATCTATCTTTCATAAATATACAGTTACATTTTTGAAATTTATTAAATAAAACTTTATTATATTCAAATAAATTTATAAATTTATAAATTTTGTTATGTACTGACGTGCATTTGTAAACTATATTTATAAATTTATAAAGAAAGACGATTTTATGAATTAATTATCGACTTTTCTGTAATTATTAAACTATCGACGATTTATTTAAGTGCATTTATAAATATTTTATTTCTATTTCATTTTCTTATAAAAAATTCGTTGATCATGCATTTTTTATATTTTATACTTAAATTTATTATAATAATTTCTGTAGAGATCACCGAAAAGTAATACATTAATTGTCAGTAAAATATATCAACTCTTAATTCTTCCAATTGTATTTGATCGAGAATTGTGATATATAATATAACCAGAATACACGCATGTTTTCGAGACGTTTTAAAGACTAATCATAATAGAAATTTATTTCTTATTAATAATAATTATTAAGTTAAGTTAAGTTTATTAATAATATCTTATTAATAAACTTATTTCTTATTAATTTCTTATTAATAAAATGGAATTTGGAAAGAAATATGATATGATTTTTTTATTTAATTTAAAAAAAGATTTCCAAGTATTATTTATTGTAATATTTTTTTGATGAATTTATTCTACATTTTTTTCATCCTTCTAATCTAATATCCTTCCTAATCGTAATAACTAAAAATAATATTAAATATATTTGATAATTAAAAGCTTATTAAATTTTTACTAATCTGAAAATGTGCAAAATACAGAAATAATAACAACACGTTCTTTTTATCATTTATTTTTAATTAATCTAATAAAAAAGTTAAACACACTGAGCATAATGTATTGGGTTGGCAAATAAGTTCGTTCGGTTTTTTATAACGGAATATAATACATTTATTGCGCAAATGATTTTCAACACTTGTGTGGGATCTATTGAGTGCTGTAGCAATCTCTCGCACCGATTGGAATGGATTATTATCGACGAAGGCCTTGATATCATCCGAATTAATCTCAGTAGGGCGATCAAATCTCCTATCAAAATTTCCAGAACGGAGGTGAGGCCGGTTGATGAGGCCGAATGGTTCTTAATTCACAATAAGATACAATATGAAACAAGTTGTATATCGCGATGCAACACTCAAAAAAATATTTCGCTGATGTAGTTAGATTTCTAGATATCGCAACAAGAATGTATCGCTATTTTTCGTATCTGTGAAAACATTGTTTGTCACATATAGAATTTATAGCAGTAATGTTCTAGCAATAGCTTCTGAAAAATTTAGGTACCATTGCTAAATGTTATTCATTGCATGATCTAACACGTGATTGATCTTATATAGATAGCCGCTTTAGAGAAACTTTCTTTTTAAAGTTCACAAACAATACAGATATATATTCTGTTTCTGTCATCTAAACTGCTTAAGTAATTACATATGCAATATCACAACAGTTGCTAATCATTTATCTGTTTTAGTTAATTTTTTACACCTAGAAAATTTTAGCTATTATTGCAAGATCATTTTTTTGAGTGAATTATAACTTTGATTGAAGGAGGCATAAAGATAGCATTATCATTATTTCTTATATAAATCTTCTATTATTCTTTTTGATAGTAATATCAGGACATCTTGTATAATAAGTATAAATTATTATATGTTGCATTTAAATTTTAATATTTCCAAAGGATTAGAGATTACAAATTAGTTTAGTGGGGACCCAAAAGTTTTTTCCCAAATACTTAGAAATGGGTAAGGCTGCAAATAGTAATATATATATATATTACATTTTATATTAATATAAAATAACAGCCAAACAAAACAACATATAATATTGTGCATATAATATAATTGCATGCATATAAAAGCATATAATAAGATTTGGCTAAACATTTTGTTTTAATAATAATATTGTAATTTATTCTTCTGTAGTGCTACAAAACGGATTTGTCACGATCTTTGTGGCTGCTTTCCCATTGGCGCCATTCTTTGCGTTACTGAACAACATTTTCGAGATGTGATTGGATGCAATGAAGTTGGTGATCATGTACAGGAGACCATTTGGATAGCGAGTCTGAAACATAAGCAAATGGTACCGCATACTCGATTCTATTTTTAAATTATCCGTTATTACCAATGTAAGTTTGACACTTATAACTATCGATAAAAGAACCGATAAGAAATGTAGAGTTAATCGGCTATAAATTTATTACAGCGTTTATAATTAAAAGATAAACATTAATTTGTAAACATATTACATAAATAATTCTATTATAAAAAAATTATATATATAATTATGTTAATTTTATTAAGGATACTTTTGATTTTGTTTTTCAGGCATTTATCATAGCTGTTACTTCAAACTTTAAACCGAAACTAGTTTATCAATTTCTGATAATTACTCACTTGAAGGTTTTTTGGATCATTTTCTATCAAAATTCAACACTAGTGATCTGGAAAATGGTCCTCAGCCAGTAATAAATCAATCAATCTCGGTCGAGATTTGTCGTTATCCGGATTACAGAGAACCACCCGAATCACCTTACAAGTATGATTACACCATCATATTCTGGCATGTACTAGCAGCTAGATTAGCTTTTATCGTCGTATTTGAGGTACGTTTTTTTTTGCTTCTATTTAAATGTTTATATTAATCTACATTTTACATGGATTTTAATTCACATCTCTAATTTTAATTCACATCTTTAATTTATTTTTACTGACGTTGAGTTATATGCAATTCTCATAATAATTATAAAAAATAAATTTATTTGCATATTTTACAGAATTTTGTGACACTTGTAATGATCCTCGTACGATGGTGCATTCCTGACATAAGTCCTAAACTACACGACAGGATACGTCGCGAAGCACATCACCAATGAAATCACCAATGAAATCATTATACATCAAGAAGCACTGCGAGCGGCTTGCGAAAGATTTGAGACTAATGGTGGTGTCGAATCGTAAGTTGCGCAAACATACGTAGTTGCCAACGAGAGTGCGGACAGATGAAACAGAGTAATGAGAAATTCTTTCTCTACTTCTGACTTCGATTTTAAAGTCTATGGGAATCCTCTGTCGCCCGCTAATACAGCTCCGCGTATTAGCCCTGCTGCGTTATAATAAATACTAAGAAAATTCGTCAATTTGGCGTGATTCGCGAGTAGCATAGTTTTTTGGAACATTATTAGGTTGGTGCATAAGATTTATCGTTTTTGTCAAATGCTGAGAATTAAAAACAAATTATGTATTGCTCAATTTTTATAATTAATTTTTATTAATTCAAATAGTCACTAAAACTTTAATGTTCTTTCTACCGCGATAAAAAAAGTAAGATTTTTATTTATTAAAAAAGTATATTAAAAAAGGAAGTAGTAAGAATACGATAATCTCCTTGCATCAATTTAATAACAATGTGATTTTTCGCTAGTCGTGATATAAATTCGCTTGAGATCTGACGAAAAAAGATATTATTTTTGAAAGAATATATATTGAATGGAGAGATAAAGCTGAAAGTAATTTAATTATCTCTATTCGTCTAACATGTAGATGCCATATAAAATGTTATACGCTATATTTTTATGGTGGATGATAATCTCTATAAATTTTATAAACTATGTTAGAAAATTGCAAATTGAATAGAGATGTTAGAGAATTAACTGTGTTGCAATTATCAGAATTGATTTTTCTAAAGGTTATTGTAATATGATATATCTGTTATTGTTAAATTTACATTGACTTTTTAATATTAGTTATTTTACTGTTATCAGCAACATTTCTGAATTATACAATTTTGCCGATTTGAAAGAATGTCTCTCCTATTTCATGATTTATCATCAATGGCAATAAAATCGACAATATCGTTCAGCTATCAACTGGATGTAGCTAATGCTACACATACAGCGCTATCACAACTGACACAAATGCCATATTCGCCACTATTAGGTATTACAAGTGCTCATAAAGATGTTAGAACATAAACAAATGTTTTATTTTTGTAGTTGATAGTCTATTGGTTCAAAATTATTTTCAATAACCATTTGAGATAAATCATGAGACAGATGTTAGGAGATATGCAATGGAAATTTAGCGACTGCATTATGCGGAAAGTTATATACTGTACGTAAGTAAGTATACGTTAACGTGATTATATGTTTATGAATAATACGTGTCCGTATATATATGATCATGTTAATACAAGCTTTTCTCACAGATTATGTTATATATAAATTACACGAGATATTCCTGACACAACTTTAGACTTGCTTATGTAATTATATTAATAATTCTATAACATTTTGCAGGTTTCATTAGATTCTCTTCGGGACATTTCATATGAAATAACGAATAACTTGTTCCTTTTTCTGACGTTTTATTGTTATACAATAATATACAATATAAATTTATATATTCTACTTGTATTTAAATATTTTAAATAAAAGAAAAAACATTAATATATGAACATTATTAAACTACATATGCACCTAACATGTAATTTGCAAGAAATTTTCCCTGGTAATATGACTGCTTGACAAGTAAAGACAATTGCGCTATTTCTCTCCTTTTTGTATTATTTGTATGATAATACCGTAAATTGACTAATGCAATTGCTGAAAAGTTAGACATACAAATCAAACATTTTAAATTAAATATTCATTTGTCGAATTAATTTGTCAAAATTATAATCAATTGTACTCGTATTATTACCTTTCAGATAAATACGTAAAAAAAATAATAACATTATTCACTGAAAAATTCAAAATTACTTATTACAATCCAATATAATATGTATAACGTTATATATTAATAAGTTGACAAATGCTTAAGTTACAAGCTTATTGCGTTTTTTATTATTTGTTTTTAATTTACAAAATTGATCTAATATAATATTTTTACAAATAATTATTTATAATTATTTAAAATTTTTGTCTTTATGTTATTCTGATTTTTATTGCAAAACTCTAGATAACGAAAAGAAAGAAATACAATCAATAAGACACATTCCAATAAACTTTTAACTTTTTACACGCACATATACATTACAAATGTAGTTATATATACATTACAAAGTTGAGAACTACATATGCATATTTATGTTCTTCCAATTAATGTATTATGTACATATAATGTATAAAGTAACAGTATCAATAAGTTCAGTAAATTATGCGTATTTCATTGATATAATTATTATCTCAAAATAGTTTTATTTGAGATGTAAATAATTAGTTCTGCATTATTTCTTGAGATACTATTCGTGTAAATGATATCCTGTAACATCTTTTTCGTGGGATAGTAACTGCTATACCAATTAGGGATGATGTTACAGCGCTGCTTCATGACTTGGACTTCATAGTTTCGACTGACGTATCAATATTTACATTCAAATGGAAAATCATACGTATTCCTTCGTTCTCTTGTACCGTATTCAGTTAGTTGCGTTCTGTAAGTAGAAACGGACACAATGTCAAAAATTGTAAAAAGAGAAAATGTGTGGCAATATTACGAAAAAGTGTTGGATTACGAAGTAAAATGCAGGTTTTGCAGACGAAAATATACATACATTAATTCAAATTTCCGTCAACATATAAAAAAACAACGTGAAATACACAACTACGAAGATAGATCTAAAGAAAGAATGGCCATGGATATGTTTCAAATACAACGACAGTTTCACCTTACAATGTCTTTTCTGTCGTAAGAATTTTGAATCTGATTTTCCATCATTAACATCTCATTTACACCAGAAGCATGTTAACAAAGTGAAGAACTATGTTTTTCACGATTGGACATGGAAATATTGTACGAGAGTTGGCGATTTTGAAGTAAAATGTACCGAGTGTTTCAGCGAATTATATATTTCTCTCCATAATTATTTAAATACACATATGGTAAGTAAACATTCGGAAGAATTAAGATATGAGCAAGAAACACCCGACATTGTTCTTTCGTCAGAATTCGTTAGGAATTCGAAAACTATTGAAGTTAAAGAAAACATGTGGGAATATTATACTAAAGTGCCGCATTTTCAAGTAAGATGCAAATTGCAAAATTGCACCCATCAATTCTTTTGTAATCTTAGTTCACAGTTTTTGAAGCATGTAAAAAAAGAACATAAAGTTATCTGTAAATGGGACAACGCTCACAAAAATAAACGGCCATAGATATATTTTAAGTATTCGTATGAATATATTTCCAATAACGACAAACTACACTCAGAATGTCTCATGTGTGGTGAATTTCCAATTGCTCCTGAATCTACAAACACACATTTGTTACAGAAACATTCTGAAGAGAAACTACATAATTTCATAAATGACCATTGGATAATGAAATATTTTATACAAACTGATGGCACGAGAAAGTTCAAATGTACTATTTGTTGCCAAATCATAACTATTACTATTTTTCCTTGTGTGTCTAATCATATAATTGGAAGTCATCCGGAAGAATTGCAATAGAATATTTCAAAAAAGGCACGAAAAGACTGTAACAAAATTATACATTACAAGATTTTCAAGCAACGTGCCAATCTTGCAAATTTCATTCTTGTTACATCAATATAACAAACTTTAGTGAACACGTAAAAGAAAAGCATGAAGAAACATACAACACGAAGAAGCACAAGAACACACATCTCCATGGATGTATTTCACGTATTATGCTCCAGATTTCTTACAATGCCGACTCTGTAAAAAAACTGTTGAGTGTATTGAAGACTTTTTAAAAAAAATACTTGAACGGGCATCTTCCGGAGTTTTTTTTAAACACATTATTTGACAAGGGTGGCTGGGAATGGAAATACTGTACAAAAAGTCATTTTGAGGTGCAATGTATTATTTGTAGCTGCAAAATATCTCTTAACATTCCGTTATAGTATTTTGATCGTCACATTGCAGCTACACATCCGAACAGGCTGACAAGTACACAGAGAACGCATGACATAGCTGGACCCTCAGGAAGCCAACCAAACTAAAGAAAACAGGTGACAATATGTATTGATAATATTGTTAATATTTTTATGTATAATTAAGCTTTTACTTTTTTCGAATCACATTTAAGTTAATAAATATGTAATAAAAAGAGGAATAACCATACAATTTTTTTTTAATAAATATTAAAATATATAAATATTAAATATTAAAAATTTTTACATTTGTCATATTAAAATTTATTATATTTGTCATATGTCTTTAGAACCCATCGTGAACAGTTCCTTACAATGCATCTCATCTTCTTCCAGCTTCTTCTTTTTACAAAAGTGAGATATAATGCTCGCGCCAAGCGCGTCACCTATAACGTTGATTGTTGTTCTGAAACGATCGCTAAAAAAATAATACACTCTCTTTTTATATTGCTTGGCAAAATTTGTAAAGCGTAAGAACGAAAGCCAAATAATACTATTATAGCATATAACTTACACAAACCAATCAACAGCGATAATTAATGTAATATCTTCAACAGGCACTCCGATAGAATTTAACACCATTATCAACATCATATAACCGCCGCTGGGTATGCCAGCAGCTCCCACGCATGATACTGTGCACGTAATACTGCAACATTAAAAGTTAATTATTTTTAATTTCTTTTTCTAACAGGTGTATTCAGTTGCGTTCGTGTTTTAACAAACCTGACGACTATTATTTTAAATAGTGAAAATTTCAACCCACGTAATTGTATAATAAATATCGCTCCAATTGTTTCATACAGTGCTATTCCGTCCATATTTATCGCTGCTCCGATCGGTATAATAAACTTCGTTATTTTGGAATTTATTCCCATAGTCTCCAAACACTTTATTGTATATGGAACTGTGGCGGTACTAGAAAATTTAATTATTCAATTGAGGAGGTGAAGGCTTATCTCGGATTCGTATCAATTTTTATCTCACGTCGTACCTTGACGATGTTCCGATGGCTGTTGCAAAGGACGGGCCAAGTTTGGATATAATTCTGTAAGGTGATTTACGCGTGAGGGTCCAATGAAGAAAAGGTAGTATCACAAAACCTTGCAGCACCAATCCAAGAGTTACCGTTAGGATATAAAATCCTAAATGGCTTATTATATTACCAAAATCGTCAATTTCCAGAATTCGACCGGCAATAAGAAATGCTGCGGCTATTGGCGCTAGCCTACATCAATAAGTTTACACATGTATAATTTAATGTGTGTTACGTACTATTGCTGAATTAAGTTATTAAAAAGTTTTATGTGCCTAAACATAGATAATCACGAAACAAAAAATGTGGAAAATATCAAAATATTGTGAGTTAAAATCTTATTTAATTGTAACGTTGTAGCATACCATGTTATCCATTTCATAATCGTCATCATGACTTCAGATAAGCAAGTGAAAAACTCTGATAGTAGTTTTCCATTTGCACCTATATTTCCAATTGCCACACCGATTAATAAACTGTAAAATACTAAGCCCAAGACATTTGTTCCTGTTACATATTCGCTGGTTATCTTCCATTCTTCTATCGGTACTGCGATAAAATAAACCAAATCGATATTTATAAAAGTGTTAAATAAAATAAAATGTATTCTAAATAATTGGATTATATAATTGTTTGATATCTCTTATTGAGATCTGCAACAGTCTTTTTAATTAAAAACAAATTGCAAAAACAATTTATAATCAATCTATAAGGTTTTTTTTCTAAATTTCAACACCAGATATGATATATAAATCAAAACTTTAAAAATCAATTGGCAAAACAGAAGCAAGACAGTTGCAGTTATTCGTATTTTAGTTAATATTACATACGTTTCTGTCTTTGACCTCAAGATTTCTTCAGTGTAACAATTTAATGTAAATCAATATTTTTTTTAACATTTACAAAAATTAATTTAAACAAACAATTTTATTGTCTATTTGTTATCTTCTAATTTCTCAAAAAACTTTCATTGATCAATCATTGATTTCTAAACTAATTTTTAATTATAAGAATTAATTATAGATTTATTAAAAAAAATTTGCAAATTAGCAAAAATACTTAAAAGTCCAGCACATTTTTTACATATAATACCTGCAGATCCATTGCTTGGCATTTGTAGAGCAGTTTGATACTGTAATAGAAGAAATATAGATGTGTTTAGAATGCATTACACTGTTTATATCTGTGTATGTAAACGCTGTATGTGTAAAACATACCTGATAGAAGCATGCTTGTACTATATTTTCAGGAAGTAAATTACTGTAATATAAAAAAAAAATATTGAATGTAATATAATTATAAGTAGTTCTTTAAAAAACTTTCGAGAACATACATATTCACACAAACAGATTCTTTATCTTTCGATAATATTTTATATTCGCGGTAAGATATTAGTTTTAGCGTCACAAAGTCGTGAGTTGCAATGCATTTAATCACCGAAACAAATCCAGAATCGTATCCATTGTCATAAACATCCTTGTAGATGATGGTGGACTAACATCTTCATTTCTCAATAAATCGCCCGGCCGGATAGTCTCAACAAGTATGACACACAAAGTTATTCCAATCGTAGTGGTCGTTAGATAATAGTATAACGCCATCAACCCAATCGGTCCTATGCAGTTACAATAAATTCAAAGAAATTCTATCCGTGCTGATTATTTATACAAAATGTTTTGTGACTTATAGATAAATGGGATATAAATATGTCTTTTATTTTTATCAATTTCTTCTCCAATTAAAGTCATAAAAAAAATACATAAAATATATTTAGAAAATTTGATATTCAAGAAAACTTACCAGATTTTGTGAGATTGCAAGTAGCACTTATGATACTGGACGTGACAAGCGGTAATATTAAACAATTCACTATTCTGAGAAATATTTCTCCAGGAAATTTGATGTACATGAGATTTCGCTGGGACCATGATATTCCGCTGTAGTGCTTCAGACATACACCAACCGATATTCCAATAGTCACACCAACCAATGTTATTATTATAAGTTTATGTTTTAATATGGAAAGTAAAAATTTGTTCATTGTGGTTGATTTCTACACGTGCTGTATTATAGAAAAAATAATAGTAAAATAAGTAACAATTATAAAATCAAAGCCAACGTGAGACACAAATAAAATTCATTGATATTTGGAAGAAATAAAGGGAATATGAACACATTTCAAGTATTCGGAAATATGAGAAATGTTTGATATTGATACGTAATATTGATTTCTTTTATAAACAAAACATTTTTTGCAAGAAAAATTGTCAATTGCTGTTGAAGATGTTAAATTTACATACCTTGAAATGATTTTAAATACTATTTGTTCAATCTCCTATCCGTGTACGACTTAGACTACGGCTGCGTTCCGAAATTCACTGCCAGTACTGAAAATCTGCAGTTTACGTTACGTATATTGTAGATTTTCAGTACTGGCAGTGAATTTCGGAACGCAGCCTAAGAATTGGCCGAAATTTATCGCAATCATCTTGTTAACATTATTCATAAGATTAATCTTGTTAACATACATTATTCTCAAGCGTCTACCAGCACTGTTCTGCATTAGGCTTCAGTTTACTTACTTCTAAAATTGATTAAAATTAAAAAAAATCAATACTACATCGAAACATGTATATTTATAAATTGATGACACATTTACCTTCTCTAAAATTTAAACGCTTATCACTTTCCCGTTTATCTGCCACTAATCGAACATTAAAGCGGTGTAATGTGAAAATTCGGCACACTCCGCGTAAAAGCTTTACAAAAACATACTTGCGTTCGAGAAGACTTGAAAGATACTGTGTTGTTCATCAAGACATACTATCTCAATCAAGATACATTATCTGAGAAAAGAGGCTACTTTTATCAGGAAATGTTTTAAACAAATCCAGTTGACAATTTAACAAGCACTTGATATCAGTTGTAATTTACTAGTTCAATCTAATCGTGTATTTACTGAGTTTGGTCTTGCCTTATTTATTATCCTCTTTAATCTCGCAAATCAGGCACACTCGAATGAAAACTAGTAATCCGTTGATTATAATCTGCCGATAGCAGTGATTTTGGCAGGAATGTGCACAATAGGCCAAGAGAATGAAGACAATGAAACAGCGGAGTATATTAATAGGATAATTAGGAAATTGTCTTAGAAGAATGGAACAATTTCGGCCGCTTAAGCCAAATTCTGCGATTATAACACAAGAAAGATTAGAGTTTCATGTGCCTTCGTATTATTCCGTTCAATTTTTTTTTCAGTCTGATCTATTCATTTCAACATATTAAGAAATATGAGATGCATCGTCAAGATAATTTATATATCGTAAATCATTCTTACCGCTTACCTGATAGTTTACCATTAAATAGAATTTGCATTTTATGCAAAAATATGGTTCTGTCAGAACAATATCAATAAGCAAGAGTCGTCGGCGATTACGTGTAATATTTCCTAATTTTTATTTATTTCGCACCTATTACAGTATAATAAATATGTTGCGTGAGACGTTACAAGGGATCTGTATTTACAACACGTTCTTCGTTTTCAGGCCATAACTTTACGTATCTGTAATGAGTCCGTAATATCATACTCTCTTCTATCATCAACTTTTCTTTTTTTTCCTCTTAATATAATTTATACATATCTTTACAATCGTCTTCGGTTTAAAGTTATCCATTAAAAGATCACATATGCATTCTGTCTGCATCCAGTCTTCTGAAGAAATTTTCGTCATTAAACTTTATCGTCTAATCGACATTAACACCACGGCTAACATTTCTCTTTCTCTCTCTCTCTCTCTCTCTCATTTCAAGATTTCAATAATAATTTTATAAGTGTATACATATATACGGAATATCTCGCAAATGCGTAATTTCTCTCGGCAACAGACTTTGACAAATTGGTTTGGTATCTTGGCCATTGCGAATCAACTGCAATGGAAGAAGTTTTTGCGATTCTAGTTGGTTTGTTCTTTGAAATCCGATAATTGAGAAAATGCACAACGTTTGCGGTATTCTGTATAAACATTATACACAGAGACATACGTACACTCGTTGAACGTGAATGTACGTACGTCTCTGTATCTATGTATTACATTAGTGAGATCAGTAAATAATTTCGTTACCGTTATATTTATACAAAGTCATGTTTTGTAAGTTAACATATCTACGTCTACATATTTTCCCTATGCAAATTAATATTTGGTTTTGTGTGCTACGTGACATTTCTGTGTTCACGCAATGTCAGAATATTCATAAGTCCTCCCTCTTCTTCCTTTTAATATGAGGTAATTTGATTTTGCACAAATAAACCGAGAAAAATTTGTTTATTGACTTTCGCTTCTTGTTCGCGACAGATCGCCATCCACGGTATTGGCTCGCGGCTCTTCGTCGAGACAATCCGTAATGCATAGCCTGTGCCAGCAAAAGAAAAATATTTTATTATATTTCATGCATATGATAATATATTAGAATTATGTCTAAATTATTCAATTACAATTTTATCATTATATGAAATTTTACAACAAATATTCGAAACTATTTTGCGCTCTCTTTTTCGCAAGTTTGTGCAAAGTAATAAAATATGACTTTTCGAGTTCACAATAACAAATGAATCAGTGTCAAGTGCATTTACGAACTACAATTTAAAATATTTTTTTCAAACTACTCGATATTGAATCATTTACTGTTTTCTTTTCTTCGCTGATTATCTTTCAATATTTTTCAAATGTACGAAACGATTTTTGAGAGCAAAAATTACATAAGATTATTCGCAAAAGATGGTAAGATGAATAAATACCTGTCCCTACAAAGGCGTTTCCTTGCGCGCTTCCGCCTTCCACTGGAATCCATTTACTCGCGTTGTAATAGGCTTATTTCTGTTCGTAGCATTCTCAATTCCATTTCTAACGCCTGCCACTAATCTCATGGCTGGGTTGGACACCAAGCCATTACGCTTTGGTTTTGCATTACCTGCACTGAAATATAATATGGCACTTTATGGACCGTTTGTAATTCACACATTTATATTATTTTGTTTTGTCGAGAAGAGAGCTGACGTGAAAAATTTTAAGTGAACAAAAAGTATAGTAATGTATTAAGATTTCAGAAAGAAAAAGCATTTTCGTTAACACGTCTACGTTTTCGATCAGCAAATATATATTTTAAATAAATGATGTTAAAAACCAATTAATACGTAGCATAATATATATGTCTAACATTGTCGTATGTCCTCCTTGACTACATATTCTATCTTTTTTCGCTCGGGAGGGTTGAAAAAGGAAGGAAAGCCTATCGCTCATGAAGCGGTGTGTCTTCCTTATACGACCATTGTGATTTCTGCAAAGTCTAAATTGCATTGAAAAAAATTAAGATAATAAGATAATAAATTTCGATTGAGATGATGGAATTATGTACATGTGATTCGGATGATGTACACATATCGAACATAAGATAAATGTGCATGATATTTCATGCTACTAAATCATGTGATTATGCATTGAAAAAAATTTGCGATCTCTAAAATGTGTTAAAGAACGAAAAAAAAAACAAGAGAGAAGTTAGGATGAGAAGTTGTTAATCGTGTGCGATGATAGACGTAATTAGGATGTTAGTATAGAGAATGGTGCGCTTACGTAATCTGTTCTTGCCAATTTTATTTACCTTCCAGACGTGTGATCCGTAATGTGCTTGACGCTTCTGCCCACGCCAGCGCCGCTATTCCCCAATATTATTCTCATATGAGTGTCACGCGTAAAATGCGTGTCGGCCGAATTTCGTTTATCCTCGTGTCCGTTCTCCTTGTCCTTCCCGATGCTCAAACCTAGCATTTCATTCGTCAATTCGAACGGTTTGCCAATGTTATTGCGATCGATAAGCTCGGTTTTGATGTTGATCGGCTCGTAAATGACCGGCGTGTGATTATATCCCATTTTGTAGGAGATATTAGGATTTCCGCCCATCAATGACACACCCAGCTGACTCTGAATCACGTTCGCAGCCGTTTGAGCACTGGGCGGACTCGTGTTCGTAGGCGAGTAAGGGATAAGGCTGTCGCTTAGCGGAGAATGCGGAGGTGAGGCGTATATCGGGCTCTGCGGCTCGCTTTTCAAAGGCGACAATAATTTACTGAGCGGCCGACTCTTTGCTCCTCTTGAACATTGCTGCAGTTGTTGGGTGAAAGATAATGGTGTCTAAAATTATACAAGTTAGACAATCAAATTTTTTCACAAGTAATCGATTATGATACATTTGTGCAACAAAAACGTACACGAAGAAAGCACAGTGATCGTTGAATAAATGTCGCGAAATTATTGTATATCGCATATTTTGATTACCTGACAGTTAACCATTGAATTTTGATTGAATTTTCCCTGATCGCTCTTTGTGCTGCCGGTTAAGTTGCTGCTCGATTTGCTATTGCTCGAATTGTTGCCTAAAGAGACGCAACTGCGCCGCTTGGTTGAATCTGGCGATTCCGCTGGGCTGTATTGCGTCGACAGAGGATTCAGGATTGCCGATGAAGGCTTAGTCTCAGCCGTCGAATTGGATGTTACGGAAGTAGCACTACTGCTACCACCTAAAAGTCACATAATTATATAGTTTTACGTAAAAGTTATTTCAATTTTAAATCAATATTGTGGCAAATTAAGGGAAATCTTTGATAAAGACAATATGCATAATTTTTTTATATCAGAGAGCAAACAACTTCGAAATCCAGAAAAATGTCAATTAACCTCCATTAATGCCGGGTCTCAAGCTGCGTTGGTTGGCTGAATGTTCTTCTAGTAGCCTGACAACCGTGTCGTGGCCACTTTTAGCGGCTACTTTAATAGCGTTACGTCCGCAATGATCGGAATGATTCGGATCGGCTCCATGGTTCAAAAGCGCCCGGACGCAATGCTCGTGTCCTTCCTGAGCGGCGATACCTGCAAATTGTATTTTCCTGTCAGCTAACGTGTCTCATTTTGTAAGATTTGATCGTCAAGCAATTTTCGGGAGCAATAGAGTTGATAATTCACATTACTGTAGAGATTATTCATAATCGATGTACCTAGAGCCGTGGCACCTTGGTTGCAAGTGTGATCAGGAGTGGCACCGTGTTCTAGGAGCAGCCTGACGATCGCTGCGTGACCTTGCCAGGCGGCGGAATGAAGTGGTGTTCTGTTTTCATTGTCGCAAGCATTCACGCTAGCTCCACCTTCCGTCAGCAACAATGCTACCATTTCCACGTGACCTTGCCAAGCGCTCACGTGCAGTGATGTTCTACCCTGTGAAACATAGATTAGAATTAATATTAATTATCAATTTCTAAAACACAAATCGTTCTATACATTATTAAAATAATAAGTAAAATCAGTGAAATTTTCGATTAAAATGTAACCGACAATTTTTCACCTCTGAATCTCTACTTTCCACGTCCGCGTTTGCGTGTTCCAGCAAAAACCTCGCCATAGCTAGTCTGTTTTCTAATGCGAGTATATATAGAGTGCTCCTTCCATCGGCATCCTTCGCGTTGACATCAGCGTTGTGAGATAACAATATCTTCACGGTATCGTAATGTCCCTCCAGAGCTGCGAGTCTGCAAGCGCAAAGAATCAATGTGAGAAAATGTCGGTAATGTTATTCGTTTTAATACGATCAATCCAACAATACAGTACCTTAAAGCAGTTTTACCATCGTGAGCGTGTTGATCTATAGGCGCGTTGTGTTGTTTCAGCAACCTTTCCACCAACGATGTGTGTCCTTCCTGCGCCGCGAGCATAAGAGAGCTCTTCCCATCATTGTCCGTCTCGTCGATCTTCGCGCCAGCTTCCAGCAACGCCTCGCAAACGTCCACGTGACCCTCGAACGCCGAGTAGTGTAACGGAGTCCAGCCAGAATTGTCTCTATGCTGCTCGTCTAGGCCTTCGTGTAAAGTTTATAATACTCGTTAAACATTTCTGAATCACGCACAGTGATGTCCTCTCATCAAAGTTAAGCCGATTTTACCTCTAGCGAGCAACTGCTTCACAACATCTGTGCCGCCCTGGGCAGCGGCTATACTGAGAACGGTTCTGCCTTCGTTGTCAATAGTGTCGACGCAGCAGCCCCAGTACAGCAGAAGCTTCACGACCGATCCGTGTCCCATACTCGCGGCCGCCCACAGAGGCGTCCTCCCGGTGACGTCGCAATGATCCATGTCCGCGTCGTATTCCAGAAGCAGATCGCAAACGTCCCGGTGACCCTCGAACGCGGCGACCAAGAGCGGAGTCATACCGTCCTTGTCCTGGTGATCCACCGTGGCGCCTCGGTCTAAAAGTATCGTGACGACCTGCGGCAAATAATTGAACGTACGCGATGTGAAATTCTCTATCCAGTACGTTGTGATATTTTTAGTGAAAATGATTTCACAGTTTGCGTGAACATACCTTTGCGTATCCGTGATTGGCAGGGACGCAAAGTGCAGCGACGCTGAGCGCAGTTCTACCGTCGCTGTCGGCGTGATCGATCTCGGCCCCGAAGTCTAAAAGATGCTCCACGATCTCGCTGTGTCCCATGTACGCAGCAGCGATCAAGGCGGTTCTACCCTCGTCGTCCGTTCTGTTAACGTCGGCGCCGTGCTTCAAGAGAGCTTTGACGATGTCCTCGTGACCGCCCCAGGCGGCTGCTCGCAGCGCGGTTCGTTGATCCCAATCCGCGCAGTCGACCATCGCTCCGTGCTTTAAAAGTAGTTCGACCACCTGAAATAGAACTCGTCAGAAACATCCACCTCGCGATTTAAAATATAAAATTTATAATTTATCGATTTTAATCTTCAAAACGGACTCGTGGGTCAAAAATGTACACACTTCAGTGAACTTATGTGAATTTTTTTAGCACATTAACGTTACTCAATCAGACATAGAAAAAATAGACCCATGAGTCCGGTTTATGTTGACGGAAAACAACAGTCCGTTTTGATTGTTTATCAGCAAAAATACTATTCATATCTATAATGTAAAACTAATGAAATCTGTATATTCTCTAGTCTTACCTGAGTATGTCCTCCCCAAGCAGCAGCTCTAAGGGCAGTCCACCCGTCGCAGTCCGCGTGGTCCACCCTCGCGCCGGCAGCTAAAAGCACACGCACTACATCCGTGTAACCGTGCCTCGCAGCCAGATTGAGTGGCGTTTGTCCATTCCGATCAACTGCTTCCAATTTTGCCTGCATTCCAAAAATATTCTTTCTAAATTTCCATTAAAATCACCTAATTGAATTAAAAAGAATATCGACTCCACGCTTTATTTTCAGAGAAAGACAGCTGGGGGAAAAATTGAGAAAAATTATGCGACGAAAATTTCATATGAAAATGCCTTTCTCTGCAAAATCTTTCATCTAATAAGCATTATTTATATGAATAAATAAACAGCAAGCTTGCAAACTCTATGATTGCGGCTCGATTAACTAAAAACTGAATTAATAGAAAAATAATTCACCTGCGGACAAGCTGCAAGCGCCAATTCCAACAGAGATGCATTGCCATCGGCGGCTAATGTGTGTAACACGGTTCGTCCGTAAGAGTCTGCTTGATTGATATCTCCACTTTCACCGAGAAGCTCCGTCAACGGCTCACTCGGAGATTCATCAATAGGGCTTACATCATGTGAAACCTTTGTGTGGAGAAGATATGATTATTAATAATTAGTAGTAGTAAACTGTAGAAAATTTTCTCTACAGTATTTTTTTTTATCACTATCATAATGTAGCTGTTAGATGTGTGAGCAAGTATTTGCCGACACATTATTTAATGACACAATTTTCTATGGGCCATACAATTTGCTTTTATCGTGAAACGTTGCCGTTGAAAGTAGATTAGATAATATTTTATGCTTCCTGCCCTTTATGTTTTTATCGAAAATAGATTAGATATTATTGTATCATAATTTCCTGACAAATTTTTTATACCTAAAAATAGATTACAGATAGAGTAAAAAATACTTTTCCACGACACAAACTTGAACTGCTCTTTTCTTTGTGCTGAATAAAGCACAGAATGCATTAAGATCGCGTGGAACAGAAATCTCTTCTAATTTGATTTGTGGAATTATTTGCACAAGTAAGAAAAATCACCTGACTAGAAGAAACGGCATCTTTGCCGGCGTCGTCCTCGGTGGTCTTTTCGGAAGGCTTCGCGCCAGCGTCGATTAGCAATCTGAGGAGCTTCAAGTCCTGCCTGGGCCAGAGAATGCACTCAGAACTATCTAAATAACAGTCTTCGATGGGCGCGTTGCTGCCGACCATCCAAAGAATTTGAAGAGTGTGAACATCCAGAGTGGTGCTGGCCGGAATGCTCGTTATCACGCGTTGCAGATGTTGCGCCAGCACGCAGATCTCGTCCGGATTGAGCTCGGGACCGCGGAGGGTGTAATGAGCCGCCAGCATGGCGTGGCCCTCGGTGGCCGAACAGAGATACTTCTGGGTGCAGTGTTTAACGTCCAGCAGCCACTCGGCGAAGCTGTGATGGAAGAGCATCAGCGCACCGGCGCGCGAGACCGATATCACACGGCGCAGCAGATGAAGCCGACGATTGAAGTCCTCGACGGTGATGCCGACACAAGCTGTCTTCACGCTCTCGTACAGAATCTCCTGAGTGATGGGCAATTTAGCGGCGAGTATGACGTTGAGAAGAGGTTGCACTTTGCTGAATTGCTTCCTGCTGAAGAGTCGCTGGCACAGCCAGAGATATAGGCCGTTCAGTGTTCCCGGAATCTCACGTACCTCGCGCAGAACAATGAAATTCTCCGCCACGCCGTCGAGAACTTTCTCCAGGTACAGAAAGCAACCGTTGCTCTTTATGTGCAGCTGGTTCAGCATCTCGGCGGTGTCGCGCGAGATGTGCTGCCTGAAAATGTCAAAGAAAAATGATTTTGTTAACTGAGGCACGATACAAAGCACGCAACTTGACTATTTCGAATATTTTTGTTGACGCAAATTTTTGTGTACTTAATATTAAATTTGACGCCGTTCTTCAATTTAAAAAAAAAA